AATCATGCACAGATGAGACACAAGAACCTGAATGGATAAATTGAAGGCCACTGGTTAGCATTACTCAGATTGCTTCCTCTTCCTGTTTTAGAATCAAATTACATTACAAGACTTAGAGAGCTGAGCTGTAAGTAACAGTGGGAATGGAAGATAAAATCCTTCTGCACAGGATGTATCAGTATAGTCTGATTTGCTAGGTAGATTCCTGTTTATTGCCATGAACGTGTCATAAGGTAATGGGGTGTTAATGGCCATTTAAAACGCAAAGATTAATATTAAATAAGGTTATCAAGATCAAGTTAAGGGTGGATGAACAAATTTGCCTGGCTGTACGTAAAACCAGAAATCCATTCTTCCCTCATTTGGAGTAACGGTGTTTTTATTCGTAGCATTTTTCTGTTGGGCTATTTGACTCTTGACCAAGGCTCGCAAAACAAGCAAAATATGTGTGACAGCTTTGAATCCATGAGAGTGCCTAGTTCCTGTTATTTGGTGCGCTGGGCCCTGCGAGCAAGCTGAGGGACCAGATCTTATTCACACAGCTGAGAACTAAGGAGATGACTGCTGGCCCCTTAGGGGCGCAGGTGCATGGTCCTTTCCGGTACTGTGGCCAGCAAAAGCACCGTCACCGTCCGCACAGGCTCCACTCCTGTGGGGACCATGGAAGTCTCCTGGGGCTTTGGCATTTCAGGGCCAGCCCTGTTAGTGCTAGTTCACCTCAATGCTTAGCAGTGAATTTTTAGCTCAGTGGCTCAGATCTCTGCTCTGGTTTTATTTCTCTCTTCCTCCATCATGCAGTTCCAGATTTTGATTTAATTTTTAATAAACTCAGCTTAGTGTATAATTTAGTAAGTTTTATAGCATCATGTAAATGCTGCTCATTTTTCTTTACTAGCTAGTTTGATTTTTTTAACTTCTTAATATTGTGCATTGATGATGAATAGATTTGTTTCATACACGTTTACTTTGTCAAAACTTGGAGACAATAGTCCACTTTCCTTGCTATTCAGTTCTTACACTGAGTGAGTTTAAGCTGTGATTGGAAAGCTGCTATGTAACAGGGCAGTAGTTACTAGGTAGTTCCTGTTCACAGTCATGAATACATGACATTATGATGCATGGATTGCAAAGACAAAAATGGGTTCTCTTACTTGTAGAAACAGATGGATTTGTCTGTAAATGAACAATATTTCTGCTGGAATTTTTCTGCCAGAAAATTGTATAGCTCACTGACTTCCTAGTTAGTGACTAGGAAATGACAGAGAAGACTTGGCATGTCCATTTTACTTCTAAAGATGAATGTTGATTTCTCAACAGAAAACAGACTTCATAGAAAGAGCCATTAAATCTGTGGTCAGGGGAAAATTTCTTATTGTGGCTGCTCCAGAACTGGAGTACTCACTCCAGTGGGTGAGAGTTATTCATTCGTGCACCAGGTGCTTCAGAGATACCCTTCATCTTCTTGATATACAATCTGAAATCTGTTTTATTAAGTAGAATGTAACCTTGCACTGAAGTAATCTGTTCTTGTTTAACTTATTTTTTCATATTATTTCAATGTCTTTCTGTAAAATCTTAGCGCTGTTTCAGACTGTTCTTCAGACTCCGAGCTTGATTAACTGCCAGAAATGCAGATGCTCTAACTGACCCTGCAAAGGGCTTCCAGTGTTGACTGAAGAAGCTGTACAGGGGGGCTGAAAACGGAGCTGTAGGACTTGTATCCAGTAATATCATAGTGTCCAATATAAGCACTAGTCTAAATGTGTGTTACCAAAATTATTACTTATCCAGGCTCAATCTATTGCAATATCCCAGATAGTCACCTTGGGCCTCCACCGTCACTGCTTAGAACCACTAGGCTTTGCCTACTTTATCTTACTCAATAAGATAAGATCTGCTTTGCCCTCTGGTGGAGGGAAGCAAGCTCAATGGGAATCCTTGAGCTGATGATGTTTCCCTTCCTCCTCCATGAATTGCTTGAGTGGAGCAGAGCTGCGGCATAATGTGCTCAGTGAAGAGGAGGAGGCAATCTGTTGATCTTGGGAAGACTCTAGGCTTAAGTAAGTGACCCTGTACTCAGCGGATTGGAGTGAAAAGGACATCCCAACATTGTTTTGTTCTGCAGGTTCCCCATGAACAGTTTTGGTCTTTCCAGTGAGATCAGGTTGGGTGGGCTAACAGAAGGCTAGTGAGAGGGAGAGGTTGCTTCTGTGTAGGTTCCTATCCTTGCTCTTCACCCATAAGGTCTGATCGTCCTGCCCTATGGAAAGGTACTGTGATGCAATAACTATTCTGCATAATAATTCTTATTTAAATAAGAATTTAATTTAAAATCAGTGTGACCTGCCCATTAGTGCATTTGTAAGGAGAATTAGCCAGTGAAGAAGTTAATCACTTTAAGCAGGTCTTATGCAGAATTCAGAAGTCCATATTACAATGAATCCCGCTCCAAAGCAAAGCAGAGCTTCTGCAAGAATTCCCCTGCAGTTACCAGAACTGTCTTGTGCGAGAAACACCACAGCCATCACACACCTAAGCCCATACCCTGCTAAGAAAAGCTGTGCCACTGCAAAACGTGAATTGTGTGTTGTAGAGGGAATACACAAGAGGGAACATGATGTTGTAGCCTAACAGGAGGCATGTGAGAAGGCAGGAGCCTGGGTGTCTGGTTTACTCCAATACTGGATCTACAGTTTAGCCAATGTTTAGTGTGAAATACAGTATTTTGAAACAGGGAACTGAACTCACTTTCTTTGGATGTGAACACTCCAGTCCTTCAGGAGCAATAAATAGACCTTTCTCCAGTGTAGCCTCGTGACCTTAGGAAGCACCTGGGATGGGGGAAAAGTGGACTAGAGCTTCCTCAAGATGAGAAAATGGTTACTCCTATTTGTTTCCTTTTCTGGAGGCATGCTCCTAATTACTGATTACTGCAGAAGATTCAGGTGCCAGCACCTAACTGTGCAATAAAAAAACAAAAGTGAGCCTTACTCATTGCTCTGAAACAGAGGCTTCTGGTATTTACCCTTAGGAGAGCTGCACTTAAGGGGACCGGTATTCCTGACATGGTACCTTGGGAATCAGGAGCTAGGAGTAAGCTGCTAAAATCTAACATTGAGGTATCTAAGACCTCTCTGCTGGTTGAGTGACACAGCACGGTAGCTGCCTCTGCAACTTTCTATATTGGAAGAACACTTGAGGACCACTTTTCTCTTACAAATCGATTGAGGAGACTAATATGACTTAGATTTCCTTCCAGCAGGACAAGCCGACTCCTAGCATTGTTCAGGCAAATTCCTTTGTCCAAGGACCATATTAAGTCACACAGTCTATCGAGACTCTTCGGCACAAGACCTAATTTCCTTTTCATGCTCTTTAGTGAAGGTGAGGTACTGAGTCACTTGATAAGCTGTGCGATTGTAAAGTTCTGCCTTACTCTATAAAAGTCTCATCACAAGATCTTCCTTTAATAATGAGCAAATAATTGCCTTTCCCAGTTGCCCAAGAACAATTTCACCTTTCAAATTAATGTGCTAAACTATCCGTTTCTACTCACTTTCTCAGTTTTACTGGAAGGAAAATATTAAACAGAACTGGCCAAAAAAACAGAACTGGCCAAAATGGGGTCTTTTCAATAGCTAACGTAACATGCCCGCATCTCCATGCTGCCAATTATTAGATCTGTTCTTTCTATCACCCTTCCTTTTCTTCCTCTCTTTCTATTCACACTGTTTGCACAAGACAAATTAGTAGCCCATGAGGAGGATCCTGGAGCTTCTGCTTCAGCAGATTTGCGGAGGCTGTCCCCCTCTAACGTACACGGGCAAGACTGGTTCTTTTGGAAGCTGGGGGTTTCTGTGGTTTATGTGTTGGTTGCAGGTAGATTAATCACAGCGCTCAAAACGAAGAAGAATATCTCGCTCTCCTAGACAGTTGTCTCCCTCCCTCATTTTACCCCTCCCTTGCATTGGGCAGGAAGAAATGGGAGTGCTATCCAAACTCTTTAAATCCCTCAAACTCATGCATCCTGAAAATCGTCTGTCTTTCTTCCTCTCGTCACTGTACCCATATCGTGTTTGTCTTTTTTTTTCACCTCATGCATTGATTGCTATAATATTGTTTCTTATTCCCTAATCTTCCAGAAGATTATGTGGTGCTAAGCTGGGGAGTGTTGGGGGGAGGCTGGAGGGGAAGGGAACATGTAACAACTTAACTGCAGAGTTAGCTACCACTGTCTGATTTCTTTGTATAACGCCTTTATTTATTTACAGCCTTTGGAACAACTACTTTCTTTGCAGCTGCTAAAAGCGTGTAGTTTGAGCGTGACCTTTAGTACTGCACAACTATAGCTGAATTTTCTTTCCCTGCCTTCAAATTTGTGAACGTTTCTCTACTGATAAATTCAGTTTTGTTCTAGAAAAAAGTCCCGTATGGGCTTCTAGAACCACTGTGAAATAAATGGGCTTAGGAGCAAGATTCTAGACGGTTCCTGTAGCTATCAGGATAGTAGCATTGTAAGTCTTTATTATAGATTTCCAACTGATATCATTATCAGCAAGCATAATTTTCACCACCAAATAAACCGAACTATATGAGAAGCCTTGGGAGACCAGTATCCTGATCAAAATTAAGCAGAGTAAAAACACTTTCAGAGGGGCCAGCTCATAGCAGCTATCTCATTGTGGACTGGCTTAAATGAAATGTTAAGTCTGCCGACATATTATAATGAAGGGTCTGTGTCCATAAGCTATAGCTGAGTCACAGTTGCTCGGGACTTTGCTTTTTATACTAAAGCGTATCATACAGTCTTCATTGTAAAGCACTTATTTTTACCCTTTAGAACATCATAATCTTAATTTAAATACCAGTTTTCAAAAATGTTCCAAAGAAAAGTCTGCAGAAGTAAAATAAGCTAACAAACTAAGCATAATTGTCTTGTTTATAATGAATTCTGACTTGAAAAATTAACATTAGATAATGGTCATTCTTTTTCTTTCCAGCGCTCAGGTGGTGCCTTAGCTATTCCTTTGTGTGCTTTTCAAGGAACTGTATCTCTTCAGGCACCCACAGGGAAAACCCTCTCTTTATCTACATACGAGGTAAGCACTGAGGGGCAAAAAATAACACCCACGTCAAAGAAAATTGAAGTATATCGATCTAAGAGTGTTGGTCACGAGCCAAACCCAGAGGAGTCTCCTAATACGTTTGCTGACACAAGCGTTAAAATTCATTTAGAGGTTCTTGAAATTTGTGACAATGAAGAGGCCCTGGATACTGTGTCAATCATCAGTAATATCAGCCAGTCCTCCACACAGGTGAGGTCTCCATCCTTACGGTATTCGCGGAAAGAAAACAGGTTTGTTTCATGTGATTTAGGGGAAACTGCCTCCTACTCACTCTTCATACCATCAAACAATCCTGACAGCGACATTAACATATCAATTCCGGACACTGTCGAAGCTCATCGGCAGAATAGTAAAAAACAGCATATGGAAAGAGATGGTTATCAGGAAGAAATACAAATGTTGAATAAAGCATACAGAAAACGTGAAGAAGATGACAACAACAGTTAAAAAGACATTGAATCTAGACATTTAAACTGGTTTGACGGACACTGCTCCTCTTGACTCAAGTTGTCCTAGAAAATACCATGACAACCGTTTTTTCCTAATAAATGAATTACTTTTGTGTGGGTACACTATTAAAGAGAACAAAACTTTTAATCACATATAGATGGGAAAACAGAAATGCTTAAGTGCTTTACAGCTTTACATAGTGAATTTCAAGTTATTTATTTATCTCTTTATTTGAGGAACACTCATGTCTAAGAACAGTTCTGAATAAAGTCTTAGAAAACTGCTCGGGTTGCTTGTTGGCACTGGGTGGCCTGTCCGTGGGAACCTGCGGAAAATAAGGGGAAAGCTCCATCCAGGTGAAGTTTTAACAGTTTTGACTGACTGTTGCAATTCTTCTCTTAGTGCTGCGCAAAACTTGAAACATTTATCTGCAAAAATGTAGCAAAAGCCTAAGACAAACTCATTTATATGACTAAGCAAAGGATTAAAAAACAACTAAGTGATTTAGGTTTCTACTGTTCTATATGTGATTCATATGTAATTCCTATGTAATGGGCCACTGTTAGATCTTTGAATATGAATGGCTGAAATGTAAGCATGCACATTCTGTAAGTACATCATCGTGAAACTTAACAGTGTTCTCATGGCTTGACATTTCTTTGGTCAAACGTGTCAGGTGTTGGTTAGTTTAGAGAGTCCCCTTTTTCGCCTCCATGATATCTTGCCAAGTTAAGAGGTTTCCCAACCTTACAGAATATTTGCACTCGATCCAAATAAGGGTAACATTTGAAACGTCTGAAGAGCTAGAACATCAAAATTAACTTGAATAATTGTTCCTGTTTAAAGATTTTCAGACAAGAGGCATCCCTAAGCAAGGAACAGTGATTCACAATGTGGTCTTCTTCAAGGCCCGTCTGAAACTAATGCTTTTCACAGCACAACGATGGGAATGGGCCAAGCTTGCAGATTGCTGCAGAAGTCCCAGCGGCTCACAGCGAAGACGCTAGCATTGTTCCTGCCGTATGTATTTTGTCAGTAAACCTATCATCACTCTTCTTTGGACAGACCCTCATGCTTTAGAACTGAGAAAGTCAGGAGTCTGGGGTTACAACTGATTTGTGACTTCTAGGATGGGAGAAGGGAGCTGTTCACAGTGGCCAGTCTTAGAGACCTAACTGAGACATCAGCCTCCAGAGAGAGAGGCAAATAGGTTCCTGCCCTGAAGCACCCTCAAGAGGAATCTGTCTCTCTGCTGACTTATTGGAAGCCTAAAACTAAGCCTAAAACCAACCCAAAACTAGTGAGTGCCGTATTTTGTGTCAAATTCAGATAAGAAGTAGGCAAAACAGTCAATGGAGTCCTCAAGTCTTACATGAAATATGTTGCAAATGTTTGAAATGCTGATCTGTTTTGACTGAAAACTCCTCTTCAGAGGTTTGTCTTTCATTTCAGTTGAACAGAGGTAAATAGACTCCCAAGACTTTCAGCTGTTTGACTAAAAGTCACACTACTTTTTTAATTAATAGATTTAATTGCCAGTGGTATGTGCAACGACATAATCATTTAGGTGTCTGCAGTCATCCTGTTTTCCACTCAGTAGGAACAGGCAAGGGAAAGTAAGCCAAAACTCATTCAGGATTCCTGTATGGATTACAAACAGACAAAGCAAAAGGGCCGACTACTGTGTCTCTGCAGTTAACATTCAGTACGAAGGCATGACAACAAACGGCCACTTTGCCTTCTCACTTCAGCAAACTATATCGGGCATGACGTCGCTGAATCACTGCCGTTAGGGTGACAGTGATGTAGATGTGAAGGGAATCAGGGTCAAAGACTGCAGGTTGCTGTGATAAAGATGGGTCACTCTCTGCAAATTGTGCTTTTCACGTGCTACCTTTCCAAGCTGAAAACAAGAGTACGTAAGGCTCTTAGTAGCACTAAGATGCTACATTATATTTCAGGTTTAGCTGAAAACTACAGTAGAAGGTCTGAGTAATCCATGCTATGTCTATAGAATAAATCTTGAGCAGGAGGGTTGGACTAGATGATCTCCAGAGGTCCCTTCCAACCTCAATCATTCTGTGATATCCATTTGTACAAAGCAGAGAGAGGCATCCTGCTATCTCTGAAGATACTGCTTTTCTTTGCCTTCTGTAGAAGGAACACAAAAAGTGGATTTATAGCGACAGATGCACTTCATCACAGCATCACAGCTTTAAAGTTTTGTCAGGTGTTTTTTTCCTGAGAAGTGGTGGGGACTATGCTGACAAGAGGATTAAGTGCTGATGTGTTAATCTCAGAGGGGTATATTTAGAAAGAGTTAAAATTTGGAGGCATTAAAATTCTGCATAGATGTGACCCTGAGCTTGACCTAATCGTAGGATATTGTCCTGCTGCTGTAATAAAAATTACATTTTCTTTAATGAATCTGTAAATTTGCTAATGTACAAATGTCTGATTATTTTATGTTTTGTTCTAAAATGACTTATATAATTAAACATTGTCAAGTGTCTGAAAACCCAAGTCGTAATTATTCAGTAGATACCAGTTCCTTGCACAAAGCACCAGAGAACTAGCTGCGTGCTCTCCTGGTTTATGTATTCATGTACACTATTAGGGTGTCCTTGTTTACATCATTTTTGGAAATATAATTGAACTCTTTTTAAACACAATTCTTTTATAGTAGTTTGCCAGGAAAACATTTTTCTTCTTCTGTTGTTTTTCCCGTCTGACCTTTTTATGTATTTCAGAGACAGCTTGACATTTGAGGGCAAAGTGGTGGTTGTCAGTGACCATTTGAAGGTGACTTGAAAGAGAGCTCATTTCTGTTCAGACACCACAGGGACTGAACGAAAAAAATCCCTTGGAAAAGATGACCTGAATCTGCACTTGGGGCTTCCCCTGCTGTTAGGACTTGGACTACTGAATAATGCAAAGGATACAAAATAGGAAAGTGGGAAATAATTTTTGCGATGATCTTTGGTAAACAGTATAACCAGTGGGTCAAAATTTCCTTTCAGTGGCACTCAGGTATACTGAGAATAACATTATATTAACAGAGTTACAAGAAAAATAAATCTATTATAAGCAGGGTCAGGCCCGTGAATCACATATGCCTCAAAGGATTGTGCTTCTTGAAAGAGCGGATATAGCCAGGTACTGAAACATAGTCTTCCTATAAAAATATTGATAGAAAATACATCTTAAACATCATATTACTTCAGAGTAGAGTGATTTCATACAAAATAATAATTAAATGTTGCTTGTACATTATTTTACCTTTATAGATTTGGGGTTGATGCATAGATTCTGGAACATGATTTCACTTCCTGGTATGTATCGCTATAATGATTTCAAAAATTAGTGTTTAAGTATTATGTTTCTCTGTCATAATATGTTTTATAGATTGAGATAGTTGTCTCAGGGCAGAATAAATTCTGCTTTTCTAGACTTGAGCTGCAGCTACTGTATGTGTTACAATTCCTATATATGTACACTCCTGTATGTTGTATGCTCTTGTGTATTTTATAAAACAGTCTAGTAAGATCCTCAGTCCTTACACAAGTAACCTTTAATCACAGAGAAAGTCCTGTTGAATGCAGGATTGTTACTTTGCAGTAGCAAGATTCACTCATGGGGTTGAAAGCCTTTAACACTGGATCCTCTCCCGTTGTGTGTCATCTCATTCTCAGTGTTTAACCGTCAGTAGCTTCACATTTCTTCCTCAGGAATTTGACTTCATTAGGAATGTCACTTCAGAATGCCAAAAGGAAGGCACTATCTTTTGTCCTTTTTAGGAACGTGCTGCTACATAAATAAGCCGTTGTGTGCAGATTCATTACTTTACATCAGGAAAATGGGCTACTGAAGTGGACGAAAATGAATATGAAAAGGGGTTAAAAGAAGTTGAAAAGGCCCAGTAATTTGCAAACCATTGAGATTATTTCAAGAAATACTTCATGTCATGCATGTTAGAAAAAGATCTTTATGTGAGTAGATGCACATTTACTATCTTTTCAGCATCTAAATCTACAAGTCTGCCACAAATACTTGCATTTTTAAAGTTTTCTTTAGAACATGTGGTTTTTTTCCAGTGATAAAAAGACATGGTTGAGATGCAGTGGTCACATGCAGATGGAAGCTTTCCTTGTGCGCTTAAATCTCATCTACTTCAAGCATGTGCACTTCCTGAGCATCCAGATACAGTATGATGTTGACATACCAGATCAAACAGAACAAATCTGTTGAAGTTACCTCAGTGAATTTGCTGTAAAGCGATGAGGAAATCTGTTAAATATTGTTCTTTCCTCTCAGTTTGCTTATAAGTTATTTGTAATGGCCTCTTAAACTACATATTCTGTGCTTCGGTTATAATACAGTTGGATTCTATTACTAGGGCGTCCTACTCTCTTAGGACTGCATCTATTTTGAAACAAAGTGCATCCTTGTAACCTCACTCTCATCCCACATAATGAATTCAGAATTGTGAAGAGGAAAGTATCTCAAATGTTAGTGGTATTAATGGAGGAATAACTGAAAACTGGTGTGGTGTCTGTCCTAGCATCAGATTTACCCTCTCTGTAAGGCCTGTGTGTGGTTCTGGGGCTTTTTATGATAGTGAGTTCAGTCTGCTTCTTATATTGTGAACAGTAAAATGAGACTGCAGAAATTGTTTGTTCCTCCAGATTTTTAAAGGTTGTCGGTAGCTCCCAAGGTACAAGTGAATCGTGCCATCTATTCTAGCCTCCTTTATACGTTTTATTGTTGCAGGGATTTTTGGCACCACTACCTGAGAACATCTTACCTAACAACACCTATATAAACTAGGTAAATAGCTGCATATCAAAGAGCTTGTTTTATTTACCTTTTGAAACTACCGTTACATATTTTTCCTAGTAAAATCAGGGTTTTCTGAGAGTTTTTACTTCAAAGTCAAGATCCTGTCATTCCTAAATTCAAGGCTGCCCAAGCACGTTTTTCTTGAGTAATGCTGAATAGGTGCAGCAAACAAAACCAGCTTTCTGAAAGCTTACCTAGGCGTGCAGAAGTCAACCCAAGATGCAGCTGTGTCTAAATCAAGCAGCATCTGAGAGAGGGAAACCACGCACATTGCTGAGGGGATACGTATGTTAATCCCTGATTGGTGATAAGTGTTCTGAACGTTTGCCCGGGGCCATCTTGTTCTAGCTCTTCACTAGCTCCAGACTAGTCATGTCAGACATGTCTCCTGTTCTAATATATCTGAACCTAGATATAGGTTTGTAGATATAAACCTAGAACTAAAGATACTAATTGCCCTGATTTATATTCACCAACAGGCTAAATCACAGAATCACAGAATGGTTACAGTTGGAAGGGACCTCTGGAGATCATCTAGTCCAACCCCCCTACTCCAGCAGGGTCATCTAGAGCAAGTTGCACAGGATCGCGTCCAGGTAAGTTTTGAATATCTCCAGGGAAGGAGACTCCACTACCTCTCTGGGCAACGTGTTCCAATGCTCTGTCACCCTCACAGTAAAGAAGTTTTTCCTCATGTTCAGATGGACCTTCCTGTGTTTCAGTTTGTGCCCGTTGCCTCTTGTCCTGCTGCTGGGCACCACGGAGAAGAGGCTGGCCCCATCCTCTTGACACCCTTCCTTCAGATACTTGTACACATTGAGCAGATCCCCCTTCAGTCTCCTCCAGGCTGACCAGGCCCAGCTCTTGCAGTCTTTCCTCATAGGAGAGGTGCTCCAGCCCTCTAATCATCTTGGTAGCCCTCCGCTGGACTCTCTCCAGCAGTGCCATGTCTCTCTTGTAGTGGGGAGCCCAGAATTGGACGCAGTACTCCGGGTGAGGCCTCGGCAGGGCTGAGTAGAGGGGCAGGATCACCTCCCTCGACCTGCTGGCCACACTCTGCCTAATGCAGCCCAGGATGCCGTTGGCCTTCTTGGCCACAAGGGCACACTGCTGGCTCATGGTCAGCTTGCTGTCCACCTCGACTCCCAGGCCCTTCTCGGCAGAGCTGCTTTCCAGCAGGTCAGCCCCTGGTGCATGGGGTTATTCCTTCCCGGGTGCAGGACCCTGCACTTGCCTTTGTGGAACTCCATGAGGTTCCTCTCTGCCCAGCTCTCCAGCCTGTCCAGGTCCCTTGACTCTGCGCCATTCACCACAACCCTCTGAGCTCGGCCATCCAGCCAGTTCTCAAGCCACCTCACCGTCCACTCATCCAGCCCACACTTCCTGAGCTTGCCTGTGAGGACACGGTGATGGGAGACAGTGTCTCAGCTTGCCTTGCTGAAGTCCAGGGAGACAACATCCACTGCATCCATCTCCCCTCATCTACCCAGCCAGGTGTCCCATCATAGAAAGCTATCTGGTGGGTCAAGCATGATTTCCCTTTGGTGCATCCATGCTGACTGCTCCTGATCACCTTTTGATCACCTTCTTGTCCTCCACATGCTTAGAGAGATGGCCTCCAGGATGAGCTGTTCCATCACCTTTCTAGGGACTGAGCGGAGGCTGACAGGCCTGTAGTTCCCTGGCTCCTCCTCCTTGCCCTCTCGGAAGATTGGAGTGACGTTAGCTTTCTTCCAGTCCTCAGGCACCTCTCCTGATCTCCAGGACCTTTCCAAGATGATGGAGAGTGGCCTAGCGATAACATCCGCCAGCTCCCTCAGCACTCGTGGGTGCATCCCATCGGGGCCCATGGATTTATGGATGTCAAGTTTGGACAAAAGATCTCTAACCTGATCCTCCTCGACCAAGGGAGAGTCTTCCGCTCTCCAGCCTTCCTCTCTTGTCCTCACGGTGTGGAATTCCTGAGGGCTGGCCTTAGCGAACTCCGCTCAGAAGTCAAGTTCACTTGCGTGTGGATAATGTCATGCCATTGACATGAAAATTCATACTTGAGCAGCAGGATGTTTTTTCATCTCTCCCATCCCACTCTATCCTTTCAGAAGGACTTGTGACATTTTCCCTGGTTTAGCTTACAGAGGTGTTCCGGTGACATATTTCAGAGTGGGATTTTTTTTTCAGTATTCCTTCTTAGATTTCTAAGAATTATTTTTCCTTGAATCTTCTTTACTCCCTAGCTGTTTGTCACTGTGGGACTTCTCAAGAATACTGTGAAATTGCTGTTAGTTCGTGTTAGATGATAAGAGTAAGAAACTATGGAGCGCGCACTCTAGTCCATATTAAGCCACAGAAGCAGGATGAAAAGGGGGAACTGAGGAAGAAGTGTATTTCCTTCTTATTTCTTTCTCATGCTTGTTCCTCTGATTTGTCTTTCAGATGATTGTCCTCAGTACCTTCCAGTCTTCTGTATTCTCTGAGCTTGGTCCCCTCCTTGTCCCCCTTTATCATGTCTCTGGGTAACCACACACAAAAACACGAAGTTCAGCTACTCTCTTTGTGCTGATGACTCAAAGATCTGGCTCTCTATTTCCTGACTTGCCTGTTCTCATTCAAATTAAAATCACAGCCTCTCTGGCATGCTCTTGTACCCGAAATGCAGGAGAGCTAAAACGGACCACCTGATGTTTCCTGCCCCAAACCCTCCTTGTGCGAGACTTGGCCTGATGCTAGGCCATTTTATAGACATACAGATTAGCTCTAGGTGAGTTGGTGTATCTCTGTGATACAGTGCAGTGCACTGGAGTTCTGGTCCTAAAAGCAATGTAGGCTCATCAGTCTGTACAGCCTGTTTCCTTTTTATGAATGCTGTACTGACTTCCCCCTCTTAACTGCATCCAGCATAAGCTGCTGGTTTTCACTAAAGGACTTCTGCAGCCTATGTCCACTCCACCTATTCTGCACGATTGCATAGCGTGAGGTTGATTTCCTTTTGCAGTCAGCCAGGATGTCAAACTCCATTGTTCATTTGCTCTGAGGAACTTGTTAAAAAAAAGAGAAAGAAAAAAGAACTTCCAAAATTGTATAGCGAGGCAGCACTGTCAAGGACTGAAAATAAGCACAGTGACTTAGAAAAAAACAGAGCATGGAGAAGGATAAGCATAGCAGCAAGATAAGTGGCTACTTGGAAGCAGAAAGCATTATTCCAGAGGAAGGGAATAAATAAAATGTAGATGTAGGTCTTTAACTCAGGCAACTATTTCTTGCCTTTTTACATAATCAACTGCTGCAAGTAGTTAGATTTCAGGTAAATTGCAGGTTTGAGATTTAGAGAAAATAATTTAATGCAATAATTTCATTTCCTCTGAAAGAAGCGGTGCTTAACCTGAAAGAAGTTTGAAAATCTGTGCATGTGTATTTCAGAGATCTGAGTGCTAGTAATTTGTGAACGAATGTAAATTGCGGTGGAGTGACAACAAGGAAGAAAAGGCAAAAAAAATGATGTAAAGAAATGAGATTGAAGAACCGTTTATAGTATCACAATGATGTTGAAGGGAACAAAAGGAACATTAATTACCATTGAAAGCCTAATAATTCTGCTAATAATTTTGCCTGAATTAAAAGGTTTAATTTAACACTTTAGAGAACTTGGACAAAGCGAATCACATGAAGCGACAATCAACACATCATACCCTGAACTAGTAGTTATTTAAATGTGTATATGCGATATGTTAAAAAAAATACAGAAATGCAGTTCTGGTACACAGAAAGTGTGTGATAATAGATTAGAGAGCAACATTTAATACTGTTTGTTTCCTTAAAATGTTATTTCTAGTCCCTGAAAGGGAAATGAAAATCACATCTGTAATTGAGACAAGAAGAGATTTTCCTGTAAGATGAACTTGTATTACATACTCTGTTGAATGTTTTACCATATTTAATGAGCGTTATGCTTCCCCCCCAGGTATGTTTCAGACAGCGCTACCATCTTAAAATTTGGCAATGTCAAGCTGGTACAGATGTCATCGACATCTTACTCTGAGCCTTCAGGCTGTCACAGCTGATGTTGTAGCGGCTCGCATTGCTATTTGGAGAGGACATTGGCCAAAACACCTGAATTTGCTAGGAAAAGAGCGCCGTGGTGGGGCAGGCTGCGGGAGCGAGTGAAGCCCCGCGCGAGGGC